GGCGTTACATCACTTATATCAGATATCCTCTCTGTATATACTTTCACGGATTATTTACTGTCGATTAAAGCGTTTTCTCTCTCACAATCGATAACATTCAGTTTACGATCTTACAGTGCCGTGAACGTATATAGCGATATGTCAAAATCTGAATAAGGAGCTAAACGAGTATCTTCTCAGCAGCAAACATGAAAAGCAATATAAGATCGCTGTTCCATCGGTAGCGATATCGAGATCGAACTTTGGGAAATGGTTCGGAAAAAATACTGACGAGGCGGAGGAGGACGCAGGATGGATCCAACGTTCGCGGAAAGAATATTGTTCTGCTATGGTAGGGCATGGTCTCATTAATCTTAACCAACGGATGTTTGCAGTTTATGTTTATTAATGTTAAAATGATTAGCACAAAAAATATTAATCTAGCAATGCGAGATGATTCGATCGTTCAATATTTAACATGGCATCGCTCTAAATTCTTAAAGTATAATTCATAATAAAGTGCGGATTTAAAGTTATATATATATATATATATATATATATATATATGTATGCACTTTATTTTTAGCCGTAAATTCGCGTTTATATTTTTAATCGATCATAAAGAGAAATTTGCTTCCCATTATTTTAAAACACAAAAGGATCGATGTTTTATTTTCACTAATAAAAATTTTTATCAATATAGGAATTTTGACAAACTGTTGCGCTGATTATATGTATAAGTACTTTAAATTAAAATGTATGTATTATCAGTAAATTTAATTATATAACTCCTAAAGTTGTTAACGCAATTGACAATTTGATAAAAAAAGCTTAAATTTTTTGAATGTTATGTTTCTTTTAATATAACGTAAATTATTTTATTTAGAGAAAATTATAGATATATATATATATATATATAATTACTTAAAGAGCAGAATTAATGCGTGAATTAAATACGCGAGACGTAATTAAATGACCATTTTCCGTGTGCTTTGCGTGAATAAAATGCCACGATGGGTTTTCAAACTTACATTTATTTAAACAAATCAACATTGACCTCATATTTACGGATTGTATACTGTATTTGTTGCACAGAGGATGCACCTTTCTATACGCGAGATCTACGCATCTCGCGACGCGTCGTACCGTTTGACAAATTATACGGTCGAGGACAAGGGGTGGAGGGAGATGGGAGGAGGGGGGGAGGGATTGGACTGAGTACCGACAGAATAATTAACGAGATTAGAAGAGCTGGACTAGAAACAAGTCTTACATTATCACAATGTAATATGATGATGCGTTAGAGAAGCATATATGTATCTGTACAATAATCGGTAATAAATATAATATAATAATATAATAATGTCGTTCGTGAGAAGAAGAGGAATGATATACTAATAGGCGCAGAAAGAAACAAAACGTAACAATACAAGTTCGGGAACTCAGACAATTGTCGAATCACGCCCGAAATACAGTACAAGCTACGAATATCGCTTAATAAAACTCAGGTTCCGCTTAATCCTTTTCTTATATAGTGTTTTTTTTCTTGTGTCTTTTTACCGCTAAATACGTACTGCTCACGGCCGCTTGATCTCTCGATTATACGATACATAGGATGAGACTGCTAATTATTCAACATGAAGATCCCTAAACTTATTCTCACATGCCGCGAAACGAATTTCACCCTAGGGGTGGGGGGAGGAGGAATTGAAATGCCTGTCAATTGTCGATTGGTATATTGCATACTTAATCGCGAAATTCCGTATATGTAAGCTCAAGAAAAATACAAACGAGCGTGAAGTACCGCGTGGTCAACTGTACGTGTACGTTTTTTAATTTAACTCATGACGAGCCTCGGATAGCGATGACCGAGGCGCGACGATGGCGAGTTTTTCACTTCGAAGTTCCGAACCTTCACGCGAAGCTGGGCCACGAGAAATTCGTTCTTTGAAAAACAGCTTTCGAAGCGAAAAAAAAAGCAATTGTTTGCCAAATCTATTCTTTATTAGCCTCCTTTGCTGCTTACTTATGCCAAAGTATAGAAAGCAAAAGAAGAGGCGTTTGCAAAAACCTTTTTCTCTCGTTCGCCACATTTTCTTTATCTATACACGGATTTACGCAACTAAGCGTATGTATGCGAGTATGCGTGCGCTTGTATACATATATCATTTTCTCTCTCTCTCTCTCATTTTCTCTATCACTCTTCTCTCTCTCTCTCTCTCTCTTTCTCTCTCTCTCTCAGTCTGCATACGTATAAGTGTGTACGTCTCCTCGTGGACATAAATTCGTGTGTATTTTCGTTAACTATATACTTTGGCTTGTCCTCACACCTCACTGCACCTCCGCCTCCTGCTTTAACGCTAATGGCAGCACGGATACAGGTTTGTTTTTATACTGTAATAGCGTCCTCTCAGCGCACACACGTGGCCTAATCATCCTGCTTCATTATTCGAACGAACGCGTGTCCGTGTCGTACATATACATATATCTATACATACATGTGTATATACATATGTATCATACACACGGCCGATCCGCCGACGGCGGCACGGGGCGTCCCTTCGGTTGATAGTGAGTACGCGATGTAGTCTCTCGTTTATTTTTTTTTATGCTATGTATAATATCGTACAGTACGCAATGACGTCGTAATAAATTGCTATATGTATACGCACTACGAGAGGGGAGAAAACTATATATATATATATTTATATATATATTTATATTTTATATATATATATTTTTTTTATATATGTATACGTGTGTAATTCGGAGAAACGAATCGCTATGTAGCGTATAATGCATGTACGTATGTACGTGTACAATACAAGCGGCGACCGCGCATCGCGACGTACCGGCCTCCTTTGACGGCGTTACACTTGATCTCTCGCGCCCCGCGAGATGCAAATGCGGGGGGAGGGGGGGAGGAATGCGACCACCGTGAAACGCGACAATTTCCGTAAAACGGTCGCGTGGCCCGCCGATCGGATCTCCCACCGATTTTTTGCGAATCATCGTCGACGGAAGCGCGGCCGGCCGTTAAATGCCATGCAGGCCGTCCGTCGTGGATCAAAGATCCTCGCGAGGATTCGCGGCGGAACCGCGGAACGACCTGCGCGTTCGGTCGAATGCATCGCGTTCTCTTTTCCTCGTCTGACAATTCCGTGCGTTTTTTGAGGTGTCAGAGTCACTATATCAGATAGCAGCAGATTTGATGCGAGATGCATATAAAATTATCGCCTTGAATTATCATTGACTGTTTATTTTATTATTGTTGATTATTGTTTATTGTTCATCGAAACTTTATACTGACAAAAATAAAAATCTGGCTGCATTAATTGAAAATCTGATAGATTTAACAAAAGATACAAATCAGATATACTTGTAGTTTTAAATCTATCAAACATTCTCAAGACAATCAGAAATTCAATTATGACGAAAAGAATTCTGATTGAATAGAATCGGAATATACATTTTGCATGTCTTTTTTCTGATACAACCTAAACATTTTTCTCAGTGTATCACTTAAGTTAGTGCGTAACTGTTACAACGACTCTCATTATCTTCATTTTAAACATCTCTTTGTTGGAACGCCTTTAAAAGAAACGCATGGAAACGCGTCGAGTCCGCTAACATTGCAATTACGCTCGATCTCGTGACGCTCAGAGGGCGAGATGCGAACGGAGTACCAAGAGTACCAAGAGTAAACGAACGAGCAACGGCCCCCTGCTCGCCGCGGACACTTTCGCTACGAGTAACTCGAATTAACTTCTATATCGTATATCGCTAGTCGTAATATCACTAAATCGCTCACCGATCGCGTTCCCGGGAAACGGTTACGGTACGATCGATGAGAGCGTCGAAGGGAACGAAAGGGGAGCGTATGTCGAGAGGGTGCATCGAGAGAGAAAGAGCGGCGAGGTACTTTGGACGAGAGAGAAAGGTATCGCGCGCGCGCGCGCGCGCGAAATTACTGGGTGAGCGTTCACGCGACGCTAATTGTTACGCGGAGCTATCCTAAAAAAAAAAAAAGGAAAGTTATGCGCTAAACAACGCGGCGGCCGTTCGCGCGACACGAGATCGGACGTGTTCGCCGACGAAGGGGAAAGTAGGGGTGCTCGGCTGCAGTCTAATCAGCGTCGTCGCTCGAGCGCACTCGGGTGCGACTAACGCGTCCCTAATGCGCGCGGGGGCGGCCACCCCGTTAACGGTATTCGCTTCTGGATGACATACCTAAGAGACAAATCCCCTATACGTGTTACGCTATGCACAGTTAACATCAGCCGCGCAGAACACTGAGCCATATATCGTTCACGAGACACACGCACGATATAGAAAAGATCACGGGCGCAACGGAGGAGGAGTCCCGTGTCGAAGGCGAGAACAACGAAACGCGTCCTTCGCGCGCGAGCGAAGTGAGTAACGCCGCGACGCGAGACACACGCGGCTGTTCAATCGCAAAAAAAAAAATAAATAAATAAAACGAACTTCACACACGTCGCACGTCGCGGGACGAAGGGAGAAACGATCAAGTTTCGCGTGCAGCCGATCGCCCTCCCCACGGACACACCCTGTCGGTTTTATCCTTCTTGCTTGGTTTTCTTTTCTTACCCCTTAGTACCCCGTACATATTCACGCGGTTGTCTATCGATACTTCGACCCCTTAACTAATATTGCACGCACCGGCACACGGAGGGCTACGCACCCGACGGCGTTCTTCTCTTTTTTTTTTCTTTTTCGTGTCACGACCGCCAGATCACGTCGCCCGGAACAACGAACGAAATCGATCGTCGCGAATCTGATGGATACGCAGCACGCGCGCCCGCGCGATCGTCGATCGCCGGCGCCGCCGCGATCCAACGATCTCGTACGTCGATATATATGTATATATATATATATAAAAAAAAGAAAAAATGAAAACAGATATGAACGAGTAACAAAGAGTCGTATCTCATCGAGCCCCGACAGCTCTCGATCGTGCGGATCCACGGATCCGCGGTTTGCCCCTGGAACGAGGCCAATCCTTTTTCATCACGATGCGCTCGAATCGCATCTCCGCGATTTTTTTTCTCTCTCTCTCTCCTTCTTCTCTTTTCACATTCCACTACCTTCTCTATCATCTTACATACTTGTCGCTCGAAGGCGAACGTTACAAATATCATATATAATTACGCATGTATACGCACGAGGGTACGCACGTATACAAATTATGCTTAGCGCTATTTATTCGCGCGCGTCCGTGATCGCGAGACGGAACCACGCTCGATCTATCGTCGGACGCACCCTGTGTGTGTGTGTGTATGTACTTTTACCTGACGGAGAGCGTTCTTCTCTCTCTCCGCGAAATCAACGCGAGTTACGCTTACACTATGAGAGATTCATGTCATTATTATTATTATTCCCTAGTCGGTACTTTAATCGTTTTATAGCATTTACGTTACTAATTACGGTATAGAACTATATAATCAATCAACGCCCTATCGTGAACCGTCTCGTTCGCGCGCGCCGGGCCGGGCGGCATCCCGACTCCTTCCGTTCTACCTCGCATCCACACAGAGTTCGGACGGATGTCCTGCAGCCGGATGTCCGCCCGATCGCGCGCGCGACCCTACATTTCGTCTTGAGCTGAGAAACATTCAGGCGCCGCGCCCCGAAGGAGGAGTGTACCTCCATCCTTCCCCTCCTCGTCCCCCCCTTCCTCCGCGAGCGCAACGAAACGCACATGTATATATTATACTCTATTTAAATAATAGTCAGTCCTCGACCCCTCGCCACGACTTCCGCCCGTTCCTGGGAAACTTCCGACACGTTTCTTTCCCGTGAAAATGACCATCGAATGCCGAAAATGAATTCGAAGTGATTTCGTTTTTCTTCTTCTCTTCCTCTGCTTCTTCCTTTTTTTTTGGTATTTTCCATTGTAGTCTTCGTGTAGGCCAACGAAGTTCTCGGCGCCCGGTACGGGACGCGATCGCGTTAGGATCTTCTTCCTTCCTGTCTCGTTCGACCTCGTTTAATCTCCGTCTCGACTAGCTGTGCCCTGCCGTCTCGTCTTTTAGGTGGTTCGAAGATTATACTCTTCTTGAGGCCCTTGCGAGGAAAACCGAGCCGCTGTCTGTCGCGGGTCGCCGACGCCTCCCTCTCCGAGCTGTTTGAACCCCAATTTTAACATCATTTTAGTCTGAGACCTCGTACTTTTATTCAGTAACTCTTTATAAAATTGTAGTAATGGATATTAGAAAATAATAATTCCTGTACACGATCTTCATTTATAATATCTTGCTGTATTTTTTTTTTTTTTTTTGAGCTGCTTGTGACAAGCGCGTAGATTACAAATTTAAGGGAGCCAGTGCCGATGTTCACTGCCGGTTCACACCTAACCGACGGTTTAGGGGGAGCAATCGTTATACCGTCGTAACGTACTCACGCAGCTCGGGAGACTCGGCCCTCACCAACCAAGGATCGTCGTACTTGGACACTTCCTCGCTGCGAGTTCTTCCGGGCGGTTTGGGACGCTCGCGAGGATGCATGCGCGGGCCCTCTTCGCTCAACGATCTCTTCGTTGCGTCTATGTGCTTCGGCACCTCCAGCAGAGCCTTGGACCTGGTCAGCAGGGGCTTCTGTCGTTTAGTCTCCTCGCTAGCGGCACGTATTATTACCGTCGGCGGGGGCGGCCCGACCTGGGGCAGTCTGTCCTCCAGAGGACTGGTAGTGGGTAGCGACGTTTTCGCCCTGAACGCACCCTTCCGCATGAGCCGGGGCTTGCTGGACCGCCGGAACGGCGGCGAGTACTGCGGCGAGTATAATTCCGGCTGCACTTGGCGGACGCTTGGCGGACGCTTGGTGACGGGCGTAATAGGCACCCTCGGCGACCAGATCGGCGGTGAGTCCTCTGGCTTTTTCAGCGGCGTCCTCTCCGGCGACTCGGCGTCCCTCCAGCCGCCCTGATAGAGCGGGAACGGCGCGACCTGGTTAAGGATCTTCCACCGGAAATCCTCGTCGTCGCTCTTACTGGGCGTCGCCGGCTCCGGCGGCGGACAGTGCGTAGGCGTGACATTTTGGAAAGGTGACCATTTCTTGTCGTCGATCACCTCGATCGGGATGTCGCTCGGCGACTCGTCGTACGGCGTCCACTTGATCTCGCTGATGTGCTTCTGCTTGTCACGCTTCCTCATCCCGATCGTCGGTAACGGCGACGAGTCCTCGTACGGCGCCCACTTGGTGCTGGTGATGGAGATCTCGGGCGAAATCAGACGTCGCACAATTCGGTTCTCCAGCTTGCTCATCTGCCGTGGATCCGGCTCCGGCGACATGCTCCTGCGTATGCTGTACTTGGGCCGTTCGCGCAGACTCTTGCTCTTCGGCTCGTCCATGCTTCTGTACCACTTCGGCGCCTTTTTCTCGCTGGGCAGAGACACGTGCGGCTTCATGGCCCATCTTGCTCGTATCGGCTTCTTGCTCTCCACCGGGCTGATAACCTTTTCCTTCTCCTTTTCCTTGTCCTTCTCTTTGTCCTTCTCTTTGTGACTGAAGCCCCATCTCCTCGAACTTTCGCTTCTCACTTGAGCTGAACGCTCCAGCTTGGGTCGATCCCTCTTCCCTCTGGCGGCTCTCGGATCCTCGCTGGCTTGCCTCTTCACCTCGGGCTTCTCCCACGGCACGGTCGGCTCCTCGGGCGTCAGCGACTTCGAGTATTGCAGTCTTTTCTCTTCCCTCTGCGGCGGCTTCTCCGGCTCCTTCTTTTCCTTCACCTCCACCGGCTTCACTTCCACCGGCGACGCGGGCGGCGGCGTCTTCACCTTGGGACAGGTACATCTGGGCTTCGGATTCGGCATCACGTCCGGCACCTGCAACCATCTCGCCTCCCTCGCGAATCTGGTGTCGTCGCTGCTGTGCTTCCTTAGGTCGTGCATCGGGGTCAGCAAACTCTGACCGATCGACCACTTGTCCGTCTCCGCGCTGTGGTGCTTCCTGAGATCGCCGCGATGCACGCCCTCCTTCTTCTTCTTTTCTTTCGGAGTCAGACTGTGGCAGCTGCACTTTGTCTTGCCGACGAGATCCAAGTCGGTGCTCGAGGTATGGAGCTCCCAGCGGAACTCTGTACCTTCGCTGGTGCGCCTTCTCAGATCCCAGATCGCCTCGTCGGGCGACAAGTAGCCGCTGGCACTCCATGTCACCTCGGTGCTGCGTACCCTCAGGAAAGAGCCGCGTTCCCGACGGGCGTCGACCTCCTCGCAGCTGCAGATCTTCGTCGGCGTTCTCTGCGACTCCAGCGGTGCCGGCTCGATGGCGTCCAAGTCCTCGATCATCCATGCAATCTCCTCGCGACGCCGTCGACCGCACGACGGGCAGAATAAGTCATCGTCGCGACTAGACCGCGGCTGCTGGCGGGGCAACGTCGGGGTCGAAGTCGAGGTCGATGCGGTGGGGTCAAGCTGCGAGAGCGGCTCCGCGTCGTCGCGACGGCCATCGTCAGAGCGTCGTGACGTCGCAGCCGTGCCTGGCGATGCGCACCAGCAGGTGTGTGTAGCTCCGTCAAGCTGCCTTGGTGGGTACCGCGACTCCGGAGACGACGAGGCTCCGTTCGAGGCCGCTGCCAGTCAGACTTCCGCGATCGCTGGAACCGCAGGCCTGTTTGAAATCAGATTAAAGTTAAATTCAATTTGTCCTTATTTCGCTGTGCGATTTTTCTTTGAAGAATTCTTTGAAGGGGTCAGCTTTTGCAGGAGAAAAATTTTCATCTCTTATTAAATAAACGATACTTTTAATTTTAATAATATAAAAAAAAGTATATTTTTTAGTATTTCCGTTGATTCATACGTTTTAGGTGCAAATATTAATCATTTATTATGTTAATAAAGTTTTGACAAGAAGATGTACCTTCAGCTCGCTGAAGATCTCTGTGAAGAATCCGGGCTCGCTGTTGATTCGCAGCATTTCGGAGCTAAGTCGGTTGACGATCAGGAGGCATCGGTCCCAGAACTTATCCTTGCTGTCCTCAACGAGGAACGGCTTTAGCGGGTAACTGATCTCGTTACCCATGTAACTGTAGCTCAGGTAGAGACACGTTAATACTGTCGCCTGGAGCTCCTTCTCAGACGCCTCGTCTCCGTCGACGAGCTCTTTCACCAGCATATACACGAACACTACGTTGGCAGGGTTTATAAAGGGCACGTCCTGATAAACAAAAGAAGATAAACGTGTGATTAAAATTTTGCACATTTTATTTAGTATATTCTAATTTATAATAAGTACAATTTAATTATAACAAGTTAAATAAAATATATGTTTATTTTTGATAATTTTATATTAATAGAATTTAAATTGTCCAGAGAAATATTCTATTCGCGCTTAATTTTTAATAAAATAAAATTTATACATCCATGTAGTACGTAGAAGAATGTAATTGTATACAGTAATATGATTCATATCTAAAGCACATCATTCGGTAATATAAATATCAGCGGTGTATCTCAGGCAACAATGAATGATAAGAATAAAGTTCGTGACGACTCGCAATTATGGAAGTAGAAAGAGATTTTTTAAAATTATGTCCATTATCTCTAACGTTCTCATCTGTTTATCTAAGCCTGCATTTTAATGTCTTAAAAATTGACAACAATTTTGAGATAAGTCGAGGTGAATTCAACTCATAATATGTGTACTAGCTAATATCAGTGGTATTATATCATCGTTAATACATATAAGTGGCTATACGTTTTTACGTATGCCAGTAATTGCATAGTTTCTAGCTGTGTTGCATAGTGTCGCATATATATTGAATATTTCCCTATATAGACTTTAGGGACACACGTCTTTTCATACACTTATGTTTGTGCATGCGTGTCAGTATAAATACGTATGTATGTATATCGAACGCAAGCTCTTTGGATACAAATATAGTCACATAGATGTTAATTAGTGCGGATACACATATAAGGAGAATATGTCGTATAAATAGAGGGTCTATTTATACTTGATAAGATACCTCTGTTAGCCATGAAACATAAAAGAAAGTGTGAAATTAAGTACATCTATGTATACAACTATATTATTTTTATATACATATACGTATATATACATGTTATACATACGTATATGTATCAATATTATCCTTCAAAACACATACATGCATATATATGTGTATATAGCTTATGAGAATTTATAAATTTTTACATTAAAAGTGAAATAAGTTTCTGAAATATGTTTTTGCTATGTCGAGAGAGCGAAAAAATCTACACGTCTTGAGTCAACGAGACTATTCAAATGCACATATTGCCTTATATAAGAAAATGTAAAGGCGTTACGAAAGAAGAAGACCTTTTATCGTATATTGAAAATCCAATCAAAAATTGAATATGTAATAAGCAAATATATTGCGATTGATTAACAAAAATATTGAATGTTATATATTAAATAATTACTAGATTTATTCAATTTTGTATGAATCAATTTCACAAGTTGATGGGTACGGATGATAAACAGTTTGTTTATTTCAATTATTCAATGCTTATTAAATACGAAAACATTGTAAGTGAATCCAATATTAAAATGTTTCAGCTTGAAGGTAGACATATATTACATCGACCTGGTTTTGAAATGTAATCTACGTAAAACACTAGCTTGGCTTATATTACCGTGAGTAAATAATGCTCGCTTCATAAACAGAGATATTATACATATTATGTGATAAGTTGGAGTAATTTAATTCTAACTGTTAACAAAATCAGTGGATTATGCATTGTACGACGAACAATAATAATAATACTCATGAATAATGACTGTCCCATTTGAGAGAAAAGTATACGTGTATGGGATGTGTATTATTATAATCGTCTCAAGGGGGAACCCGTGTGCGCATCAGTTCTCGCGGCGTGCACGCCAAGACAGAGCGAGTCGCATTAGCGCGCATGGATGCATCGGCTCATGGTGCAGGAGCGAGCGTAGGTGCATCGATTCGTAAGAGGTGGTGCACGGCGTGATGCCGATGCGGCCGTCGCACATGTGGGTGCATTAAGCGCGGTGAGGCCACCACCGGTGACCCGGGGAGGATCGATGCCCTCGATACGATTTCCCCGCGCGCGGCTGCGATCGGCAACCTGCTGCTGTTTTTTATTGTCCGCGCCGCGCCGCGCACTGCCGGCCGCCCCTCGTTCCTCGTTAGCTGTGTCTCTCGGCCTGATGCACATTACGCCGCGCGCACTCACGTTTGCAATTTGCTCACACGCCAGGATGCGTCGAGCGTCCCCGCCTGACGCTCCCGCCACCGCCGCTCGGCCGCCGCCGCCGCCGCCGCCGCCGTCGTCGTCACCGCCGCCGTCGCCGTACGACGCTTCTCCGGCAGGGCCGACGACACTTCTCGGCGACGACGACACGCCCTCGTGCCAGCGCCGGAGGATAATCGGAGCAGTGCACCTTGCACAATGTAGCGGAAAGAAAGAGGGATGCGCGCGGCCTCGTGCCGCGTAAACGCGCCAGAGATTTCTTCCTTCGATTTTCCCCCCGCGAAAACCACCCCCGTGCGCCCGATTCGCTCGAGGAACCGTTAATACGATCAGACAGCTACCGCTTTAACGTTAGACGGAATTGCCTGCGGCGTGAAACTCCATTTCGCAAATTTCACCGTCACTTTACACGACGTGACTTATATACTTCAAATTGGTCATTCTATCAAGTTTTCAAATTTGTAGTTCACCGATTATTTTTTAAAGAGAGTAAACTGGTAAAGTCTATAATAATGGATTACAAGATCTTTCGACTTGTGTCTATTCATTACTGACGACGAGCGTTTTACATTTATTATTATTACAGTAAATATTATACTGCATGAATTGCGTCAACTAATAGAATAATTTTAAATTGCAACCCTTCTGCATTGACCCATTAATGTTTTGAGTGAGTAACTTTACTTTGTTGCAAAGTCTTATGAACCTACTTTAATTGTCAACAATAGTTTTCTTCTTTTTAGCACTTAGCACTTAACAGTTTCAAATGGATCTTTGGAAGATAGGTACTTAGAAAGGTACTTCTAAAGTAAGACGGGTGATGTGTCTTAGAGGACGTACCATCGATGAGTATTGAGAACAGAGGCCAGATCGCGTGACGCTATCGAGAAAAATTATTCATAGATATCGTCTATCGATGGAAATACATTTTTATGACGACAACTTGCGAAGTAAAACTCGTCGCGTGAGCGAAAGAAGTATTCGTAAAATTATACATGGGGTCACCCGAGATATACCCGCACTTTATTTAAAAAACCGCAGTTTACCCCTCAAAAATTTCAATTTAAAGTCACCTGGAGAGAGAGCTTCTTTTAAAATCTTTTCTTAATGCGATCTTTCTTTGAAAAAAAAAATTAATAACAAGTTGATCCAGAGATTAAAGGTGAATGCGAGAAATTGTAAAAAGAAAAACGTGAAACGTTTTCACAGTGTTTTTCATTATTATTTCGCAAAGAGTAAACCGTGCAAAGCTTTCGCTGTCGCATGCACGATTCATTAGGGTTTCCACGTGCTTCCGCTGACTCGTGGAGAGCCGACCCTCTCGATCAGGTACAACACCGCTCGAGAGTCTCGAGAGGGCCGCGGGCCGCGATGCAGCGGAATTAGGGGTGCCAATATACCCGGCGAGGACGTATATACCTTTAGGTCGGTCGATATTCGCCAGGGGTGAGCGGCCTGCTCTACCACCGAACAGGCGACTCGGGCGCGCGTTACACTCGAGTCGCCTCTCCACGCGTTTATAGACCTAAACCTTTTAATTAAATTTCCAAGACTACGGATAACGGTTCGCCGGATAATGCGCGAGTGCACTAGTTGGACCAATTAGCGGCGTAGCCGGCATGCACGCGAGACACCCTCAACCGCAACGGCAATCTAACGCTTTAGTCGGTTCGGGGATGTCCCAGATGGAAGTTCGCGCGAGAACCCGAATCCGCGTGAATTGCAATTAGCCCCCTCCCCCTCCCTGAGCTACGCGTTCGCGTAATTAAATTATGCAAATTAATGAAATACACATAAGCACATGAGATATCCGCGTGCCGCTAGACTGCAGATATTCGCTTCTAGTTGATTCTAGTTTTGAGTATCAACAGGCGTATGAAGGTCATCCGACTAATTCCGCAATTACATCGTCTCAATTGTCTCTATACCGATCACCGAGTGTTTCTCGAAGATAATATATTAATTAGGTGACAGATGCCATGTGACGTACGACACACGTGCTGGATGCGGAAAACGTGACAGGAACGGAATTTTCTTAGCCGTGTATGGTTTCCTTTTAACTAGATTTTCAGTAAGGCGACAACCGATTTGATCTTGTTTAATGTCCAGACAAAACCGACCGATGAAATAGAATCGTCTATGGACTGTTTACAAGACAATTTACTTGCGTGCTTTGACGTCCCGATAGGATTAAACGATTATTAATGATTATTTATAATAATAACTTACTATATATAATGAATGCAGACTGAATGTGCACTGTATGTCGGCTATCATAAGAAATTGCTTGCTAGTAGGATATATTTAATTTTAAATAAATTTCGATTATAATTTTACTTTTTTAAATAACTTTATACATGTCATTATTTAAAAAACTTATATTAAATATTTTTTAATAAATAAATGTATTTTTAATAAATTAAAAATAATTTGTCCATTTCTAAATCTTTATTTATATATTATTAATACATATTTTAATAATTATTAATATTTATTAATATTTCACATTTTCTTTATTTAATTTTAAATATTTAAAGTAATATACGCGTTAAGATTGAAATATTATAAAGAGATTTAATCTCCTTCTCTTTTCTCTTAGAAATGAAATTTTCTTCATGAAATTCATAATTAGATTATCCGGTATTTTTAAAGAGAACTGCATTAAGAAACGAAGTTATCCAAAAGTACTGATAAAAGATTAAGTATAAATTTTAAGGAAAAATTTTGGGATTAATTATTATGGACATAAAAACAATCAATTATGCAGACATTCGTGACAAAAACAATCACAAAGTGTGACTGTTAAAAAAGAAATAAATATGACAATTTATACAATTAGTATGTTTTATAATAAAATTTGTTTTTTTTATATAAATATGTGTGTGTAAGTTTGTTTATTTAATGGCGCTTTAGATGCCATTATATATCATATCATCAAAAAAGTTCTGTCCA